TGGAAATAAACCCAGCACAATTGTACTGGGTATGAGCAAAAGATGTACTGGGACTCAACTAACACTTGACCCTTGCAAAATAAGAGGCTGATCCGACTACTCTTCTTTTTGGGGAGAAGTGGCATTTTCTGGGATCCCACTTCTTCCCGCTTTCTCAGGTCTCCCCGTTGGTCTCGGAGGGGAGTGGAAACAAATGTCTACGTGGCAGTTTGTCCGCAACTCACGCCGCAGTAGTTCTACCGAAACCAAAAGAAGAGGACAGAGGACAGCCGCGGTATCTCAAACGGACTGTCTCCAGGCAGAAGAGAATGACATCCAAACAGACGACTGACTCACAAAGTTACTCCAAATGTTCCACATGAACGAAGACAGTACAAATACTCGCTTGTAAGATCGCTGCCTTCGAGGGCGGTAACCCGCTACACGTGTTTCACTAGGCCCGCCTGCCTAGATCTTCAGGAGGTAGTAACTTTAGAGGACCAATCCTTGATCCTGCCTCAATAAACAATATGGACGAGGTACGTGCTTGGTCCCTCAACCAAGCATTCATACCTTGTGTTTCCCCTTTTGGCCCCCTTGCCAGCATCCTGCCTCGTTGCCTTAGATTTCCTACCGTTGCTTCCCTACGAGTGCTTTCCTACGTCGACGTGAGTAGGCCGCACTACTGCCTATCCACCGCTGACCGCCTGGATCTCCAACCAGCCGCTGTCGGGTTCTGTTCCCGTGTATCTAGCTCGTTCGCATAGCACTTGTCGACATTCGCGCTAACACTACCGCAGGACTACCCACTGCGTGAAAAAACGAAAGAGAAGAGAAAAAAATAGAAAAAATAGAAAAAACTGCGAATGCATACTTTTTTTCCCAGTTCATGGTTTCCTTGGTTCACGAGAAGTAGAAGTGAAAAAACAGAGCCAGCCACGGGGCTTAAAAAGAAAAAAGAAAAAAAGCAAAAGAAAAAGATACAAAAAGAAAAAGAAAAAGAAAAAAGAAAAAGCTACACCAAACAAACAAATCAGGTGACGCCCTATACTTCCGCTATCCTATCGGCGAGTTTTTCCCAGCTGCTTGAGCCCGAAAGCCTGGCTAATTTAGCCAAGGCACCCCTGAAAGAGGACGGCAGTCCCTGCTCCTAAAAAGAAGGCTGGCATTTTTTATTTTTTTCCCCATGTCCGGTGGGCTACGTGGTCCTTTCCTCTGCATGACAGCACGTTCCTTTCCCCTTGGGCCGCCACCAAAATCGTAAAAGTACCTCTATCAAGTGGGATCCAAAATCAGTTTAAAATTAAAATCATTTTCCCGTTCCTCAGGGGCCCTGCCCGCCCAAGGCGGTTCTTTTTGGTTCTTCCCAAATAGAAGAGAAGTCGGATCAGCCTCTAAAACACAGCATTGCTCAAAAGAAAAGAAAAGAAAAGAAAAGAAAAAACAATAACAACAACTCGGAGCTAGGGTACTGTGGCATGCTGCGCTATCCTGTACTATGTGAGAGAGGTCGGTTCTTGTTCTGGTCTGTACCGTTACGGTATGCAACAGTTTGGTATCAGAGCGGACCTCTCAATCAGGGGATCCGCCCAATCAAGGAGCCAGCTTGCTTGATAGACTGATTGTGGAATGATTGATTGATTGATTGATTTTTTTTATTTTATTTTTTTATTTTTATTTTTTTTTGGTGGGGAGCAACATGGCTAGGAACCGGTCCCAGCGTCCCTTATCAGAATACAAAAAATCGAATTACCGGGGCCATTACCCGGCTTCGGCTAAAACAATTGAAAAATTTAAGCCTCAAAAGCATTCATAGTCTGCTACACAAAATCTACCAAAACAGTAGAGTAGATGTATCAAAAGCCTCCCAACCACAAATTTGAGGTGCGAACCCATTCAATCTCACCTAAGATCACCACCAGCATGGTCGTTTTCAGCGCAAACCGGAGCTCTGCCAGGCCTCATGCTCCCATCAGGTTGGGTTACAGAGTTGCACCACCTTGCTCCAGCTCCGGCCAGCATGGCTCCAGCTACGACCCCCGATGACCACTGAGGCTGCCCCCGCAAACAGCCCCCCAGATCTCTCTACCAGGCCTCACGCCCCCAATAAGCTAGGTCACAAAGTTGCGCCACCTGGCTCCGGCACCAGCCAGCGTTGATTGATTGATTGATTGTTTATTAGTGAATCAAGTAGGGCTTCGTCAAATCTCTGCATTTTTTTTTTTTCTTTTTCGCAACTTCGGAGATTAGCATTTCGTTTTTTTTGTTTCACTCTGGGCATATTAGGTGAACTAGGGAGGTTGTCATATTCTCGGACTCGATCTATTCTTCTCTGAAAGTGGGACCTCCATTCTATTTCGCGCAACAAAAAAAAATTCAAGATCGCTTTTTTTTTTTGGAAAGCCGAAACTTTGCTAAACCTTGCCTAGATCTCGTTCATAGCACTCCTCCGTAATGCCTCACTGATATCATTTCGACAGATATACGAAGGAAAAAAAAAAAGGGGGGGTGATCCTCTCATGGTAACCGTGGACCCGGACACCGGACACTTCCGGACTGTCTTCCGGACCAGTGTCTGGACCGGTCCGGACTGTCCGGTGATCCGGACATCACCTGACACCGGACAGTCCGGACCGGTCCCCAGGGTGCAAACAATGTCTGGAAAAAAAAATAATAATAATAAAAAAAATCACCGGGGGTGGGGGAGGGGTTGGGTGGGGGTGTTGGCAGGCACTTACCTGCTTTGCACTCTGTACTTCTGTGGCATACTGCGTAGCCACACGGGCCCTGCAGGGCCCGTCCCGGACATTCAGCCTAAAAGCCTAAAACTTAGGGCTTACAGGCCCCGTTCGTTTCAGCCTCAAAGCTGAAAAACGAGGGCCTGCAGGCCCTACCCCGTTTCAGCCTATTTCTGGGTCTTTTCAGACCCAGAGTTTTCAGCCTGAAACGGAGGGCCATTTTCAGGCCCTCATTGTTTCGACCTGCCCCTAAGACTCAGGCACGTAAACAGGAATGCGGAACAGGCCAGAAATAGCCTGTTCCTCACGAGTTTGAGCAGGAGCTGCAGCTGCAGCCCCTGCCTCCCTTCGGCAGGCTCAGGAGGCACACCCGGTAGTACATAGGAAGTTCCCATGCACTTCACGGGTAGGTAGTTGTCAGTAGGCACGAGTAGTCTTCAGGATTCGGCCGCAGCACTCTGGAGGAGCGCTGCAGTAGTCTTCAGCGCTAGGCAGTAGTATTAGCGCTAGCTGTAGTCTTCGGCGCTGGGCGCCCATAGCTAGAGTAGTCTTCAGCGCTGGGCGCTGGTAGGTGGTAGATCGTAGAGTGGGAGAGAGACTGGCGGAGGCCAGTGGTACTTACCTGTGGCGCCATCGCTCCAGCTCCATCTTCGTGGTACCTGCATCAAGGCGCCAACTTCACAGGTTAGTACTGGACACAGAGAGAGAGAGAGAGAGAGTTCTT